ATTTGAAGCACATCAAGCACCATGCTTGACAAGTATTTGTTGAATTAATGAGTAGAGAGTGACAGGTCCTATTTTTGGGGTGGAGGTGGGCAAGCAAGATCTTTTGTCAATTTAAGGACCTAAAAGAATGCCTCCTGGGGTGTGCTGGAGAAAGGTAGTAGTTTTGTAGCGTTTAGTCTATAAAGGAGCTAATGTTTGAGACTGTCTTGACCAGGAGCTTTGGCCTGGCTGTGGCCTGGATCATGGCTCCGCGTGAGGACACAGAAAAGTGCTGATGGAAAAGGGTCTTACAACAGTAGCCAGAGAACCCAGCCCCAGCCATGAAGCTCTGGGCTTGACCTTTAGGTCAGCTTTATGCAGTTTTCAGAACGCTCTTCCATCCTTAGCTCTACTTCTCCAGGCATCGGTTACGTTTCCAAAAATGTGGGTGCCGTCTCCCTCTGAGTTTTCTGGAAAGACAGTGAAAATGCAAAACCCTGGCCAGCCTACTGGCTGGTAGCTGGACCTGACTCAAGAACTACTGAATCAAAACATTCAGAAGCAGTACCCAAGAACGTGTATTTTAAGAATTTCCACACTGCCCGCCGGGGTCCTTGGACACAGAACCAGAAGGGTGACCTGTGCCATTGCCAGCTGGTGAGTAGGGGGTTGGAATAAATGAATTCTGGGACACACAAGAGAACAGGGAGTGTAGCTTGAGACATTTAACCGCCTTATCTAACCATCGCTACCTCCTTGGGAGGTCGGTTATCATACTGTGAAAGGAAAATAAATCTCAGGAACCCCAAATCACTAACCCAAAGGGGAAAAGTCAAGCTGGGAACGACTTACGGCCAACCTGCCTCCTATTCTATTCCTTAAAAAGATGGCTAGTAAGATGAAAAAGCTACATACCTCCCTCACAATTTGTCCACAAGGAATTTCCTTGTGGACTAAGCACAGACAGAACTCAAAGTCATCCTTCTGCTCACTGAGATAAATGCGTATCTGGCTGCCGCCTTTGAAACGGCTAATCAGAAACTCAAAAGAATGCAACCATGTTTCGCTTACCCACCCATGACCTGGAAGCCCCCGCTACTGCGTCAAGTTGTCCCACCTTTCCAGACCAAACCAATGTACATCTCACACATATTGATTAATGTCCCATGTCTCCCTACAATGCATAAAACTAAGCTGTGCCCCAATCATCTTAGGCACATGGCATTAGGACCTCCTGACTCTGTGTCACAGGTGCATCCTTAAGTCTGGCAAAACAAACTTCCTAAATTGACTGAGAACTGTCTCATATATTTAGGGTTCACCATATCTATTTCATGGAGGTGATACGGAAGTTACGAAGGAATCACTTAGGCAAATAGCCTTTTACCCTTGTAAAAGGCTTTTCTTTTTAATGAAAAGCAGCCCCAAATCATTTTCTAACGAAAAGCAGTCTGTAAAGTTAAGCTGCAAACAGACAAGCAAGCTGGGAGCTTGCATGAATGCAGGCAGGAACCAAAGACTAGACATTTTCAAGATGGCAGCTCCATCTTCCCTTCTCTGCCAGCCACATATAAGGAGCAAACAGGATGGCGAGCAACTGGAAAGTCCATTTGCATAATAAGATTAAGGCGGGGTGACAAGCCTTCTGAGCGCACCATGTAAACGTCAGACCTGATCAAACCAATCTGTGAACCCTATGTAAATCAGACACTGCCGCCTCAAACTGGACTCTAAAATTCACGCATTTGCTGCCAGCCTGTCTTTTCCACTCGGAGACCCCCTTCCTCTAAAGAGGAAGCTGTTTCTCTTCCTCTCCTCTTCTACCTATTAAACCTCCGCTCCTAAATTCCTCATGTGTGCCCATGTCCTACATCTTCTTGGCTACAACAATGAACCCCGGGGCATGTATCCCAGACAACATCACCACTTCAGAGGTGGACACTGAGGCGCGGACAGAAAGTATCCTGGTCTGCCTGACTTTATGTCAGGAGCTTTTTCTTGTACCCCAGGGACACCCACTCAACGAAACACCCCGTATTTTGTTCTCAGTCTTCACACAAGGTCATTTGAGGCCAGCTAGCTCCCTGCTGAAGGTCACATGCTGAAATGAAATTGAAAGCAAAGAATAACTAAATGAGCAGCCCTCCACCTGGAAAATCCAGGTGGCCTCAGTGGAAGAGCCAAGACGTGGGAGGTTTTCATGTCTATTTTTAAGCAATTGAACTAAATTAAATGTCTCTTTCACAGTCAGGCTAAATGTTGTTTGCAAGTTTGGAGCTTTGTTTGTATGTATATATTTTAAATAAATTTGATAATTAAGTCACAAATGTTCTCAGCACACTTGGATATATTTAAATTACAGGCTTCTGATCAAATGGAGAAAAGTCACAAACATGGGCCTAAATGATGCCTTTTTTTGTTCAGTGCCATTTGCAGCATTCAAATGGGTCTGTCAACTTAATGGCCAATTCTAAGGCTGCTGAGAATGACAGGAGGTGGGGGATTGGCAAAGAGACTACAGGAAGTAAAATCCCATGGTGAAAAATAGCAGTTCTTTTAAGAAAACATTTCATCTGCGCCTGTAATTCATTTCAACAAGCCAGTTTTGAAAACACAAACAAGCTGGTAAAAGGGGTGTTTGTCTCTGTCTGACTGGCAGCACTCTATACCCACCATTAACAGCCAGAACCCAGTTCCTGATCATTGCAGCTTCTGGGATCAAGGGGTACCAGGGTCAAATCTCCTTTGGCTCTTGCTGTGGTGCTTGTGTAGGTAACTTGGAGATTCTAGTGCCCGCCCTACTACAGTCTCTGTAGAGTAACTGCCCATCCACTGTCAAAACAGCTTCAGACCTAGTAGAGTGGCTTTTGTTTGAAAGGATTAACGCAAGGGGCAGGAGGGTCTATTATAACAGGGGAAGGGAGACTACTGAAAAAGAGAGCACACTATGACCACGAGGGTCAGGCCAAAAAGAGCTTTTCTTTTATAGGAAGGAGAAAGCAAGGCTAGAAAGAACCCGGAAGTGGGGTGAAAGGGTGAAATGATGGGTTAGTAGATCAGAGAATACACGAGCCCGAGGCCAGCCTATTCCGAGGAGGGGCTGTCTGCTGGCTCAGGCCCAGGGTGAGCCCAAGTTCAGGGGCCTGGAGGAAGGAGAGCATCTTAACCAAAGTGGTTAACAAGCATTTTATAATTGATTAGTGGGACAAGCAGTTCAGGTAATCACTTATAAGACAAAGAATGAGAACTTGGAGAGTCTACCTCTCAGGTAAACAACAGTGGGGGAGGTGTCCTGGAGTCTTATTTAAGTTTTACAGGGGAGGGCCGATTCTTTGCAGTTAACTTTTTTCTAGAACACAAAAGGGTGACAGCAATTCCTCTTACCTTTACTCTTTCCCAGGGGTACAAGACTCAGGGAAAATTCAACATTATCACTAGTCAAGGTGCAGAAGGAGACCCAAGCATCTAGGATCACCTCCCCCTTGACTTCCACACTACAATGCAATAGAAGAAAAGGCTGGCCGACTGGCAACTCCTAAATCCCCTTCCTATAGATAGCAGGCATAGCATGGGGGAATCTCTCCGGAAGGCACTGTTTTTACTTAAACAAGATTAGACCCCCACCCCACTCCTCCTCCATCGACCAAGACCCTTTCACATGTAGTTTCTAAAACTGTAAACCCAAGACGCTTTCACATGTAATTTCTAAGGCTGTAAACCCAAGACCCTTTCACATGTAATTTCTAAGGCTGTAAACCCAAGATCCTTTCACATGTAATTTCTAAGGCTGTAAACCCAAGATCCTTTCACGTGTAATATCTAGAGTTGTAAGCCTATATAAAGGCAGAGCTTCTCTTTGTTACAGGAGCTTGGCTGTTAGACAAACGTGTCGCCTTGCTCCCAGCTGAAATAAATCACCTCTTCCCTCCTAGTTCGGTGTCAGAGAGGTCTGTTTCTCGTGGTTGGTCCTGCTTCAAAGGGAAGTGACCTAGTGTAGCATATAACCATGAGGATTCTGGGCCTGTGGCTGCTGGGTTCAAACACCAGCATCGTAGTGAGCTTGGTGGGTTAGGAGAGTTTTCTGTGCTTTACTTGCTCCCTCCCTGATATGGTTTGGCTATGTTGCCACCCAAATCTCATCTTGAATTGTAGCTCCCATAATCCCCACGTGTTGTAGGAGGGCCCAATGGGAGATAATTGAATGATGGAGGAGGTTTCCCCCATACTGTTCTCCTGGTAGTGAATAAGACTCATGAGATCTGATGGTTTTGTAAGGGGTTTCCCTTTTCACTTGATTCTCATTCTCTCTTGCCTGCTGCCATGTAAGACGTGCCTCTCACCTTCCAGCATGATTGTGAGGGCTCCCCAGCCATGTGGAACTGTGAATCCATTAAACCTCTTTTTCTTTGTAAATTATTCAGTCTTGGGTACGTCTTTATCAGCAGTGTGAAAGCAGACTAATACACTCCCTAAAATGGGGATGATCATGATCAATACAACAGCTACAATTTTAGTATTTTTAAAGCACTTTAGCACAGGACCTAGAATCCGCTCACCTATGAACTTATCTTGAGCAAGCCTGTTTCCTACTCAGACCCCAAGCCCAGTATGAGCATAACTTTCCACACCTCTGTGCGGTGCTGCAAAAGGCCTGCACACCTGGAGCCCATAGGACAGTGCGCTCAAAAGACAAAAGTCTCAGTGTCCCCGCACCACTCAGCATGAAAGCAAAGGCGGCAAAAGTGTGTGCCCTGGCCACTTCCTTCTCACTCGAACCGACTGTGGATGCAGCACTTGCTGGTGGGTCAACTGTGGATCTGATTTTCCAAAAGTATGTGGCCACTTTAATCACTGAGCCTCTCTGTAAAACAGGGAGAACTAATCATCCTAGCTGCAGGGATTAAATGGTGATTGCGAAACAGCCTTGTACGAAGCTGTTAACTGCGCAGAAGAAAAAGCGGGAATCACTGGGGGAAGGACCCGAGGGAACACCCCAGCCTTTCTCTGGCTTCACCCCTGACCTTCTAAACGGGATGGGGCGGGGCCACGGCATCCATTACTCGGCGCTCCTCCAGGCTCTCCGTCGGATCAGACGAGCAGCGAGCGACCAATACCCCTGTGCTAGCCTCTGACTCCTCCGAGGAGACAGACGAGTGATCCCACCAAACGCAACGTGTTGTCGCCAGCCCAAAGACGACTCAACGCCGTCGCAGCTGAAGAGAGGTTAGTTTGAGCAACTCGAGAGGGCAGTCAACTCCGGCTCCGCAGAAGTGGAGAGGCGGGGTTCGGGGGCAGGCACAGCGCGGGCCTCCTGCGAAGCGCCAATCCCGGTCTCGCGCATGCGCCTTGGAAGGTCTTGCGGCCGGCCGAGTTGGCGCATGCGCTCTGAGAATGCAGTGTACCTCTTCGTTCGGAGGGGAAGGCTCCGCGCATGCTTAGTGCTCAACTTGTGGCGGTTTTGCGCATGCGTGAGGGCCGTCCGCGGCAGGCTGCTGTGCGCTTGCGCGATTCTTGGCGTCGCGTCAGTGCAGCCCTAGTGCGCTTGCGCAAGTGTTGATGCAGTGCTGTGCGTGTCTCGGGCGGCAAGGTCGGCTGGAAATGATTGAGCCATCAGGTACCGAATATGAGCGACCAGAAATGCGGCCGCGGGGAAGGCGCTGAGGAGGGAATGGGGTCTGAGGCCTCGGGGCGCGAGACTACTGCGAGACACCTGGGACCCTCTGGGGCCTGGGCGTGTGGCTGCTCGAAGGAAAAGTGCTTATAGCTCGGAAAGACTTAACGCTGAGCATCGGTGCGTTTCCCCGTAACAGAATCGCGGTGCTCAGGAGGACTCGGGAGCAAGCCCCGGGTCGGGAGGTGCGCAGGGATTGGGACCATATGGACGACCCAAACGTAAGACTGTGAGCCCCTGAGAGAGCCAGAGGGACCCTGGTGCCATGAATAAAGCTCTCTGGAAAATGTTCCAGACTTCTCTGGGAAGTTTTACGAAGCTCTTGTTTTCGAATAAGTTTTGCGGAATACTGCCATAATAACATTGAAGGGATTGGAGAACTGGACTGCCTGTTCCCAGAAAGCCAGGTGTAGGCCGATCTGTCGTGGGAGCCCGCTTTGGAGGCTTTCTCGTGACCAGCATGGTGCCTGCAGTGCCCACTCTGAGACCCTCTGCAAGTCACAGTGAGGTTCTCGGAGAGGCCATTCCACCCAGCCACCTTAAATACTGGGAGGTGCTCTAGAGGAGCTGATGTTTAAAAATAATTTAAGGCCTGGAACGGTGGCTCACACCTGTAATCCCAGCCACTTTGGGAGGCTAAGGCATGCGGATCACTTCAGGTCAGGAGTTCGCAGGACCAGCCTGACAACGTGGGACAACCCTGTCTCCACTAAAAATACAAATATTAGCCGGGCGTGGTGGCGGGTGCCTGTAACCCCATCTACTCGGGCGGCAGAGGCAGGAGAATCGCTTGAACTTGGAAAGCGGAGGTTGCAGTGAGCCAGGACCGGGCCACTGTACTCCAGCCTGGGCAACAGAGCGAGACTCCGCCTCAAAAATAATAATAAAAATAATTTGAGGCCGGGCGCGGTGGCTCAAGCCTGTAATCCCAGCACTTTGGGAGGCCAAGGCGGGTGAATCACAGGTCAAGAGATCGAGACCATCCTGGTCAACATGGTGAAACCCCGTCTCTACTAAAAATACAAAAATTAGCTGGGCATGGTGGCGCGTGCCTGTAATCCCAGCTACTAAGGAGGCTGAGTCAGGAGAATTGCCTGAACCCAGGAGGCGGAGGTTGCGGTGAGCCGAGATGATGCCATTGCACTCCAGCCTGGGTAAGGAGCGAAACTCTTGTCTCAAAAAAAAAAAAAATTGAGAGAAGGTTGACAGGGCAGTAGCTTCCAAGAGGGATTATCCCATAACCTACCAGGAACCGACCCACTTTGCCAGTTTGTATGGTGAATTTTGTCTGGATGGTGAATTTATAAAGTCCAAGCCTGAGTCTATTCAGGCTATTTTATATAGGCTATACTTTTTGTTTATACAGGCTCCTTTTTGTTCAATACGACCAACAAGAAGCCTTTTATAAGATTCATCTTGGGCTTATTTGTAAATCCAGAAGAAAAACCACTCCGAGAGGTTAGCTCATAATAGCCTATATTCTGACCTTCTTTGCAAGATCATTCATACAACAACAGACAAGACTTTGTGTAAGGAGCATTTAGAGGCTGAATCAAGTCCACTCAAAAGCTGTTTTATGCAGCCTGTACTTGATCCTCCCCCTACAAGCTGTTCCAGCTTATGACGCCAGTTCACAAAGCCAGGACATAAGACCACTCAGGCAGTTTCTATACCTGACAACCCCCTTCCCACCCTCTGCAAAAAAGCCTTCTCTGGGCCGGGCACGGTGGCTCACGCCTGTAATCTGAGCACTTTGGGAGACCGAGGCAGGTGGATCAACTGAGGTCAGGAGTTCAAGACCAGCCTGGCCAACATGGTGAAACCCCATCTCTACTGAAAATAGAAAAATTAGCCAGGCATGGTGGCAGGCACCTGTAATTACAGCTACTTGGGAGGCTCAGGCAGGAGAATTGCTTGAACTCAGGAGGCGAGAATTGCTTGAACTCAGGAGGTTGCAGTGAGCTGGGATCACGCCATTGCACTCCAGCCTGGGTGACAGAGTGAGACTCTGTCTCAAAAAAAAAAAAAAAAAAAAAAAAAAAACCTTCTCTGACCAGCAAGAAGTTTTTTAAGGCCAATGCCTGTTGAGCTCTGGGAAACTGACTTGTAAAGTGAAGATAAGAGGCCACTCAGGCTTTTTCGTATGGCCCACACTTGGGCTATGGTAGATGTCAGTTTGCCTGGAATTACACCAGTTTTACTGGTGCAGACATAAATATTAATAGCATCTGGGTTTGGATGACCTACCTATACCTGACCACTAGAAGGCTATCTATACAACTCCCCATAAACCCTTTTATGTGGCACTCGAAGGCCGGTCTGTGGTACCACTCTCAAAGACTGCTTCACACAGCTTCTTTTTTCTTGCAAGTAACTGGCAGGTCAGACATTTTATTCTTGACTTTCGTTGGTTTAATATAAGCCTTTTGTGTGCATGTGCTTTTCTTTCGAGGGGGACAGAGTCTTGCTCTGTCACCCAAGCTGGAGTGCAGTGACGCGATCTTAGCTCACTGCAACCTCTGCCTCCCTGGTTCAAGCGATTCTCCTGTCTCAGCCTCCCGAGTAGCTAGGATTACAGGCTTGTACTACCATGCCTGGCTAATTTTTGTATTTTTAGTAGAGATTGAATTTCACCATGTTGGCTAGGCTGAACTTGAACTCCTGACCTCAGGTGATCCACCCTCCTCAACCTCCCAGAGTGCTGGGATTACAGGCCTGAGCCATCGCATCTGGCCTTAATATAAGCCTTTATAAACAGCAATTTGGTGAGGAGTTCTGAGAGGCCAATCAATAAAGTCAGGCCGTAAGGCTACTCCAGCTGATCCGTTCCTCTGGAAAACTGCTTGATATAACCATCAAGAAGCCTTTTTGTCACACCAATATGTGGGGAATGCCAGAAGGCTGATGAGCCTGGACCTGAGGCCACTCCAAAAGCTAGTGTCTTGTGGTCTGCACTTGACCTTCCCAGGAGGGCCGTCTCAAACGGTTAGTGGTGTGAAGGCTGCTGCTCACAGTCCATGAGGCCAGCGATCCTGGAAGATTGTTTCATATAGCCAACAAGAGAGTGAGTGTTTCCGCAGCCACATAAAGATTCCTTCTCCTATCACGCCATTTTGTGTGGCTAACAGGAGCCAATGTGTGGCTGCTCCCTGGGGGATAGATGGACACCGTAAATAACACTTTCCTGACAACTATGAAGAAACCACAGATTGATCTGTAAAACTAAGACAAAATCTGACTTCACCTGGTCCTCAGACAAGCCCCCATCTAGAGGGAGGCCAGTTTTTAAAAAACAAGTCCCAAGGGTCGGGTACAGTGGCTCACACCTGTAATCCCAGCACTGGGAGGCGAAGGTGAGTGGATCAGGAGGTGACTTGAGGTCAGGAGTTCGAGACCAGCCTGGCGAACTTGGCAAAACCCCATCTCTACTACAATGAGAAAAAATTAGCCAGGCATGGTGGCACATGTGCCTGTAGTCCCAGCTACTCAGAGGCTGAGGCAGGAGAATCACTTGAACCTGGGAGGCAGAGATTGCAGTAAGCCAAGATCGCATCACTGCACCCTGGCCTCGGTGACAGAGCAAGACTCTGTCTCAAAAAAACACTTTGGAAGACTGTTTCCTATACCAGGATGTGGCTTCTTGATATGGCAACTACCCAAAAGCCCAAATCATGAGATGTTTCGGGAAGCCTGTGCAACCAGGCCAGAAGACTGATACAGCCAGAATGCCACTTCACCATGCTGCCAACATAAGGCCTTGTAGGAGGCTATAGTTTTATTTTTTGAAACAGGGTCTCACTCTGTCGCCCAGAGAGGAGTACAGAGGCACAAACATGGCTCACTTGCAGCCTTAAACTCCTGAGCTCAAGCAATCCTCCTGCTTCAGCCTCTGGAGTAGCTGGGGCTGCAGGTGTGTGGCCCCAGCTAATTATTTTTTTAATTCTTTTAGAGACAGAGTCTTGACATGTTGCCCAGGCTGGTCTCACACTTTTGGGCTCAAGCAGTCCTCCTGTTTCAGACTAGAGAGCAGTGTATAACATCAATCTTGAGGCCATTTCAAGTGGCTTATACAGAGACAATCTGAAAAGCCATTTTGGAAACAAACACAGCCATCCTGAAGCCTCCGTCTCTGGAATACCATATATTGTCAACATAAGTATCTCTGAAGACCTTTTTATAAGGCCATTCATTGAAGAACTCTGCATTAAAGAATAATAATAAGGCTATTTCATGTGGCCAAGAAGAGATTGTTTTGTACAGCCAACTCACAGTATTAGGAGGCCATCTTTCCCAGAAGGCTGTGTCCATCGGTCTCCAAGGCCAATTTTCAAAGTAGCAGGTAGGCTGCCTTAGGAGGCAGTTTATGAAGCCACCCTGGGAGGCCAGGTGACAAAGCAGCACACGGGGCCACCGGGGGAACCTGGCTACAAAGCTGCACATGTGAGGCCTGGCTTTGTAAGGCTGATGGGCGCCCCGTGAAGGGCCGTTTTCTAAAGTCACCCTGGAGCACCAATTTACAAAGCCTTTAATCTGCATTGCAGGGAACGAGTTTAGAGCCCATTTGAAACCCTCTGGGAGGCCGCATTCTAAGGCCATCAAGAGACAAGCTCACAAAGCTGCTGCATAGGGCCCCAGTCTCCATGTACCAAGAACACATCACTGTACTCCAGCCTGGTTGATAGAGCAAGACTCCATCTCAAAAAAGCACTTTGGAAGACTGTTTCATAGTAAGGCAATAAATGGTCGACTGGGAGGCCTTTTACCTGGACTTTATGAGAAGCCAGGATATGAGGCTTCTGAAGTCTCTGGGATGCTCAAGATGAGACCTCCATGTTGCTCTATAAGATTCATGTAAGACACGCAGCGGATGAGCCAGGAGGTCACCCAGGGAGGCCAGGGATGGTCCCATGTGGTGTCTTGTGCTGGCCTAGTGGAGAAGTCCGTGCTGGAACTAGGACTGTGAAACTCTCCAAGAAGGTTGTGAATGAGGCCAGCACAAGCAACCTGTGAGCCTTCTGGGAGGCTAGAGAGAGAACCAATCCAGGCAGGCTGGGGCGCTGTAGTCCTACCACAGCCTGAGCTTACTGAAAAGGATGCTCATTGTGAACCAAGGGCTGAGCTCAGCCCTGCAGATACAAAGTCCAGAGAGCTCACCCTTGAGGGCAATGAGTGTTCTGGGTAGACCTGCTACTTACTGTGTAGTTTGGACAAATTGCTTAACCTCTGAAATCTCAGTTTATTCATCTGTAAAACTCCCATTGTAGGATTGCAAGGGATGTGTTCTATGTGTCAGGCTTGCAGCATTGCCATGCCACATAGGAGAGGGTGCTGAGATCAGCCGGAATTTAAGTGCTGCTTCTGCACAAATGATTGACCATAGGGCTTGGGGCAAATTACTTCTTTTTTTTTTTTTTTTTTTTTTGAGATGGAGTCTGCCTCTGTCTCCCAGGATGGAATGCAATGGTGCAATCTTGGCTCACTGCAGCCTCCACCTGCTGGGTTCACACAATTCTCGTCTCAGCCTCTCAAGTAGCTGGGATTACAGATATGTACCACCACGCCCAGCTCATTTTTGTATATTTAGTAGAGACAGGGTTTCACCATGTTAGGCTGGTCTCGAACTCCTGACCTCAAGTGATGTACTGCCTCGGCCTCCCAAAATGCTGAGATTACTGGCGGCATAAGCCACCACACCTGGCCTTTTTTTTTTTTTCTTCTTTTTTCAGTTTAAGACAGGATCTTGCCCTGTCACCCAGGCTGGTGGCATGATCTCGGCTTATTGCAACCTTTGCCTCCAGGCTTAAGTGATCCCCCCCGCCTTCAGCTTCTCGAGTAGCTGGGAATACAGGCATGTGCCACCGTGCCCAGCTAATTTTCTGTATTTTTGGTAGAGATGAGGACTTGCCATGTTGGCCAGGCTGATCTTGAACACCTGAGCTCAAGCGATCCACCTGCCTTGGCCTCCTAAAGTGCTGGGATTACGGGCGTGAGCCACCGTGCCGGCCTCCTCGAATACTTTTCAAAGTCCTGCACTCCTGAGTGCCTGCCATGAGGCAGACTCTGCGTTTAGGCTCTGGGGAAGCACAGGGGAACGGCTGCGTTCTTGCCCTGGGGGAGCCAGCAGTGCATGTTGCATAGACAACATGTAAGCAGGTTGTATGTAGCACCTGTAACATACACTGTCAACAGGTGTCATAAGGAGAAGCTCAAGGGCTGCAGGAACACAGAACACTGTTGGAGAATCTTGGCAGGCCTCACATACAGGTATTTCAGATGGGCCTTAAAGGTTGGGTAGGAGTTTGCCAGGCAGCGGACGGGTATGGGAGGCAGTACAGACAAGGACAATATCCACGTTCCTTTCTGAACACACGTTTGTCCAGTGCTCGCTGAGTACCAGGTGTTGTAACAAGCCCTGAAGATACAGCGGTGACCCCAGATAGAAGGGGGCCGTCCCTTCCAGAGGTCCCCAGCAGAGAAGACCGCTGTTGAAAAATCCTCCCAGATGAGATGCAGGAAGCTGCAGGAGTGCACCAGGGACAGGTCTGTCCCGGTGTCTAACTCTTGTTTCTCTCCGCCTCCCCAGGCACGGGACTGACTGAGCCGGCGGTGGCCCAATGGCTGGAGACACCCACTGCCCCGCAGAGCCCCTGGCTGGAGAAGGCACTCTTTGGGAGGCCCTCAGGGCACTCCTGCCACACACTAAAGAAGACCTGAAGCTGGACCTCGGCGAGAAAGTGGAGCGGAGCGTGGTGATGCTGCTGGAGCAAGCCACTGAGCTCTTCTACGAGGGCAGGAGGGCCGAGTGTCTGCAGACCAGCGAGGTGATCCTGGACTACTCCTGGGAGAAGCTCAACACGGGCACGTGGCGGGACGTAGACAAAGACTGGCGCCAGGTCTACGCCATGGGCTGCCTCCTGAAAGTCCTGTGTCTGTGCCAGGCACCTGGGGATGCCACCACTGTGGCCGCAGCCCTGCGGGTCTGTGACATGGGCCTGCTGATGGGGGCGGCCATCCTTGGGGACATCCTCCTTAAAGTCGCTGCCATCCTTCAGGCACACCTCCCTGGAAAAAGGCCTGCCCACGGCTCCACCCCGGAGCAGCCCTGCCCAAAGGTATGTGGGGGAGATTGTCCCCAAGCACAACAGCCATCCAACAACCCTGCTGTTCTAGAAATTCCAAGTTCGCTGTCCCCTGGGGTGGAGCCTCATGGCCTGCAACCCCTCTGACGGAAAATAGCATCTCCATTGATTTTTGAATTCCTGTTTGTTTTTTGAGGTACCCTCCCGCTCTGTCACCCCGGCCGGAGTGCAGTAGCGCAATCTCGGCTCACTGCAGCCTCCTCTTCCTGGGCTCAAGCAGTCCTTCTGCCTCAGCCTCCTTAGCAGCTGGAACTATGGATGTGTGGCAACACACCCAGCTATTTCTTTTAGTTTTATTTTTTATTTTTATTCATTCTTTTTTTGAGACAGAGTCTCGCCCTGTCGCCCAGGCTGGAGTGCGATGACACGATGTTGGTCACTGTAACCTCTGCCCTCCAGGTTCAAATGATTCTCCTGCCTCAGAATCTGAGTAGCTAGGATTACAGGTGCCTGCCACCACACCTGGCCAATTTTTGTTTTGTCAATAGAGACGGGGTTTCACCGTGTTGGCTAGGCTGGTCTCAAATTCCTGACCTTGTGATCCACCCGCCTCAGTCCCCCAAAGTGCTGGGATTACAGGCATGAGCCGCCACGCCCGGCCTATTTTTTATTTTTTGTAGCAATGGGGACTCATTATGTTTCCCAGGCTAATCTGGAACTCCTGGCCTACAGGGATCCTCCTGCCGTGGCCTCCCAAAGCACTGTGATTGCAGGTATGAGCCACCATGCTCAGTCCCCACTAATTTTGAAAATGGGACAACTCCATTCATTTTCTCAAAAAAAAAAAAAAAAGAAAAGAAAACAGGGAAGCTTCATGGTTCCTGAGAGAAACAGCTTAAATAGATTGTGTGGGCGAGAGCTGCTGCCAGCAGCGGCCCGTTGCTTTCAGCTTTTTCTTGATGGGCTTGCTGAAGTCTCACCCAGGCAAGGTGATACCTCTGGCTGCACCCGTCTCTCTGCTCCCGGGTTTGGATCAGATGCTACAACTAGCTGACGTCTGTTTTGGGGATCGATCTCACCCACCCCTTGAGTCTATGCCTGTTCCAAAGACCACCCCCAGGAACAGAACATGGTTTACTCTTCAGGTCCTGGTGCCGACATACAAGCCTCACTTACAGCAACCCCAAGCCAGTCACTTAACCTCCTTTGAGCCTCGGTTTCCTTGTCTGTAAGAGTGGCAGAGTACCGACCCACAGAAAGAAATGACTAAGACTGTAGTAGACACTCGGTAGTGGAATTATGGGATGTTTTTGACATTTTTCTAAATTCTTTGCTATGTTTTCAGAATTTACTTACAATGCATATTCTTATTCTTCTTCTCATTGAGATGGAGTCTCACTCTGTCACCCGGGCTGGAGTGCAGTGGCACAATCTGAGCTCACTGCAACCTCTTCCTCCCAGGTTCAAGCGATTCTCCTGCCTCAGTCCCCCGAGTAGCTGGGATTGTAGGTGCCTACCACCACACCCGGCTGATTTTTGTATTTTTAAGAGAGACGGAGTTTTCACCATTTGGCCAGGCTGGTCTCAAGATCCTGACGTCAGCTGATCTGCCCACCTCAGCCTCTCAAAGTACTGGGATTACAGGTGTGAGCCACCACGTCCAACCACATATTATTTTTATCTAAGAAAAATGCAAATGATTGTCACTAAACACACATGCATGTAACCAAAATAAAACAAAATCCAATAAAGGGAGAAGAAAAATTTTCAACAAATATGTCAGACAATGAATATCTCTGTTACATAAGGAATGGTACAAATCAATAAGGAAAAAGTCTTGAGCCCCAGGAAGTAGAAGTCCAGGAGCCTGAACAGACTGTTCACAAGATGGAAATAGATCTGTTAAACAAATGCGCAGGAAAATATTCAACCTCACCTCTGGTTAAAAAAACAAAAGAGATATGCAAATAGCAAAACAGCATGTCATCTTTGGGTATTAAGTTCGCAAACAAGGCTTCATATGACACCCAGTGTTGCCAAGGCCAAGGGCATGGTGTGTGGGTTACCATTTTATTTTATTTCATTTTTTACCTACAGGGTCTTGCTCAGTCACCCAAGCTAGAGTAGCTCACTGCAGGCCGGGCATGGTGGCTCACACCTATAATCCCCGCACTTTGGGAGGCCAAGGCAGGTGGATCACTGGAGGTCAGGAGTTCAAGACCAGCCTGGCCAACATGGTGAAATCCCATCTCTACTAAATGTACAAAACTTAGCCAGGTATTCTGGCACACACCTGTAATCCCAGCTACCCTGGAGGCTGAGTTGGAAGAATTGCTTGAACCCAGGAAGCGGAGGCTGCAGCGAGCTGAGATTGCACCACTGCACTCCAGCCTGGGCAACACAGCAAGACTCTGTCTAAAAAAAAAAAAAAAAAAAAAAAATAGCTTGCTGCAGCCTCGACCTCCCAGGCTCAGGTGATTTCTCCCACCTCAGCTTCCTGAGTGGCTGGAACTACAGGTATGCACCGCCACGTCTGGCTTTTTAAAGTTTTTCTAGTGATGGAGGTTTCTCTATGTTGCCCAGGCTGGTCTCAAACTCCCGGGCTCAAGCAGTCCTCCCACCTTGGCCTCCCAAAGTTCTGGGATGACAGGCATGAGCCACCGTGCCCAGCCATTTCCCAGCAGTTTCACACCTGTAGACACTAGACACTGAGGCCTCGAACAGCAAGTAACGCCTCAGGTCATTGGGAGATAGTTAAGTCAATGATGATGCAGCCGCTCCTCAAAAATTGCAAGGACTGGGTGGCCACGTGGAAACTGCTTTTGATAAATGACTGGACAGGAGAGGCAGGGCTGCTGCTTCATTGTGGCTGTTACTCCCAGCGGGTCAGAAATTGTGTGTGTGTGTGTGTGTGTGTGTGCGCGCACGTGCGTGCGTATGTGCATGTGTGTATATGTGTATGTGTATATGTGCGTGTGTATGTGCATGTGTGTGCATGTGTATGTAATGTGTATGTGTGCATGTATGTGCGTGTGTCTGCGTATGTGCGTATCTGTGCATGTGTGTATGTGCGTGTGTACGTGTGTGTATGTGCATGTGTGTAAGGTGGGAAAAGAATATGCAGGAATGAAAAGACCTTAAGTTGATGAAGTTGGGGTATAGTAAGTTTTCCTTTATTGTAGAATTTCTGTGAAAGCAGTGTATTGTTATTACTTTTGTAATGAAACATTTTTAATGAAACAGGTAAGAAAAAAACCACCTTGATCTCATGAGGGGCAAATAGCAGTAGTAGCAGTAATAACATACTATGTCTATTGCTGTTACTGGGACTATGACAGCTAAGCTCTCCTACCCCTGACACAGGTTCCTGGTGGAGTGCCTCACATGTTGACTTCCTGAGGCAGCTGCTATTTTGTTCTGTTTTGATTTTAAACAGAAAGCAAGGACGGACCATGGTTCGATTCCAGATGTGACGTTAGAAAGAACAGTCCCCCGGCTGCACTGCCCATCCCTCCAGCATTTCAGGGAGCAGTTTTTGGTTCCAGAGAGGCCCGTGATCCTGAGAGGCGTGGCTGACCACTGGCCGTGCATGAAGAAGTGGAGGTGGGTGGCTGCTGAGGGACATGAGGTCCCTCTTCCCATTTTAGTGTTCCCCACAGCTCCCCAAATTCCTCCCCCAGCCATCCCCGGGGAAATGCTACCTTGTAGATGCTTCACCAGCAGCCCTTGACTGATTGATTGCCAAGGGGTTAAAAAAGAATGAAGAGTAAGGTGCTCTGAATTTATGCCGCAGGGTACGGGATTCTTATCTTTCACCACTTGCTCGCCCTAAGCGGGTTTTTAATGATTCCCCAAGTGGCAGTGTCTATTAGCAATTTTGCAGGATCCTAGCAATTTCAGACCATCTCAGGGCCCTGAAGCTAAGCGTAGAAATAAACCCAAGAGACAGGCTCTCTGTCTCTGAGGGATTCCATGGTCTCCTGTGTTGATTTCTAGTCCTTTCTCAGATTCACGATGGGTGCGATCAGATCACGCAGCGGGAGCGTGGCTGTCATGAGTTAGGACATAAGGAGGCATCTCTCAAGGAAGGTAGACGGAGTCAGGCTGTTTTGTGGTTTAGCGGAGGGAACGCTACCGGCTGAGACGCGTGGAGGAATTCTCACTGCAGGAGCCCTCCTCACAGCAAGCCTTCCTGAAGCATTTCGCTGTGTATACCTGGCGCAAGGACAGCTGCTGCCATCACCCCCATTCTGTAAGTGGAGATCAGGGACTCCCAGAGATTCAGTAAGCTGCTGCAGATCCCCTGGTCTAACAGATGAGGCCGGAAATTAGTCAGGCTAGAGTGCAGAGCTCAGTGGACGTCACTTCACCACTCCCCGCGCTGCCACTGTTTGTTCAAAGGTTTCTCAGCTTAGTGACAAAATGAGCAAAGAAAGACGGGAGGAGGCCGTTGGCAAGCAGGGAACCAGAGCCGCCCAGCCAGCCAGACTTACCGGCCCCGTCTGCAACGTGCCGCAGCACTGTGTACGAGCTGTATAGCTTGAGCCGGGAACCCCGCCTCTCCATGCCCGTTTCCTCATCAGTGAAGAAGGGGACGACAGTCCCCGTCTCTGCACGTGAGGTTTTCTGAGGATGGAAGGGAACCACATATAAAGCACACTTAGTACTATGCCCAACAAATATTATCAGTGATGACGCCAAGGCGTATCTTTCCGCTAGTTTGGAGTATATCCAGGAGATCGCTGGCTGCCGAACCGTCCCGGTGGAAGTTGGTTCCAGGTACACAGACGAGGAATGGTCCCAGACACTCATGACGGTCAGTGAGTTCATCAGCAAATACATCGTGAATGAGGTACGTCATGGGGACTGCTTTCCCCTAATACTTGCAAGAGAGCGAGCGTAGTACATTTAGGCAAATAGCCCTTCATACGTTGCAGTGGGAGGTTTTAGAGGAGTCAGTCTGTAAGTCTGTGGTCGCAGGATGACCGCGGCCAGCAGACATGAGGGATTTATTTTAGGTCCTTTTTTAGGGTAGGGGAATATAATTCAGTGGGTTTTAGTCTGTTCCAAAAGTTGGACCTCAAAGTCAAGAGTATGTATTTAAAGTTTTAATAGTGGCCAAGCATGGTGGCTCACACCTGTAATCCCAGTACTTTGGGAGGCTGAGGCAAGCAGATCATTTGAGGCCAGGAGTTCCAGACCAGCCTGGCCAACATGGTGAAACCCTGTCTCTATTAAAAATACAAAAATTAGCTGGGCGTGGTCACGCGTGTTTGTAATCCCAGCTACTAGGGAAGCTGAGGCAGGAGAATCATGGAGAGGGAAGGGGAGGGGGAAGGGGGCAGGAGGGGAAGGGAGGAAAGGTTCTCCCAAAAGTTAAATCACTTATACTTTCATCAGCAGTTAACACAAGCGTCCACTCGCTGTTGCCATTTTATGAAAATGTTTGCCAATCAGATGGATGAGATCAGTGCTTTACGAAGGGCGTTCCCAGTGCTGGAGAGGTTTTTTTGAAGCTGCTCCAGGGCCTCTGAGGGTTGGAGAGGACCACTCAGGATGGAGTGGAAGGGTGGCGGGGGCTGGGGCCAGCTGGACAGCAGCAGCAGCAGCAGCAGGAGGGCATCTGTGATGACTAACTGGGCTTTCTGTGTCACCTCTGGTTTTCCCCGGTGGATTAGCCAAGGGACGTCGGGTACCTTGCTCAGCACCAGCTCTTTGACCAGGTAAGTCTGAGACCATGCTCCTCTGTCCTTCACCTTCTCCCCATTCCTCCCGTCCTGGGCTCAGTGCGGCCAGAACAGTAGACGTGAGGAGGAGGGAGGCAGCAGGTGAGGCTGGGAAGTCAGCAGAACCTGGCTGACCAGGAGCCATTTTCTTAAAGTGATGGGAAACACTGGGGGGTCGCCAGTGCTCCGACGATCGCAGGGGCCGCTGTTCAGAGATGAAGGGAGCAGCTGTCAGCGGAAGGCTGGCTGGGCTGTTGCTGTGGTCCAAGGAGAGGTGATGCCGGCAGGTGGGGCAGTTCAAGATCGGTGTGAACCACCAGGCCCTGGACGTGGGCAGATGTGTGGGGGTAGGAGGGAAGATCAGGGAAGACACCCAGATTCAGGACTCCAAAAACACTAAATAGATGGGGCTGGAGCGCGCAGGTGGGACCTGGTTGGTGTGGTATCTGCCAGGAGTGCCCAGGGAGGCAGCACTTGGCAGGATTCAAGGGCAGGACCAGGCGCATTCCCTGAACATGGAAAACTCGAGTCAGTCGGAGTCAGGGCCACAGTCAGGGCTGCCTCTGCGGGGGGCCCTGGGTCGCTACCCAGATGCTGCATCTACTGCTGAGGCCAGGGCTGCCTGACTCTCTGTCTTGATGGGGGAGGCAGGGCCAGTAGGGGCTGTGCCAGGACCTTTCATGCCGACATTAAAGGAGGCTGGCAGTTTCTCTTCCCCAGGCCTCTGTCTTAGGACTCAGGCATCCTGCCTCCTGTCGATGTCACTTGCTAAGTGAAGGAAAGGGGGATTGATCAGGTCCCTACTGTGTGATCCCGAGACCCGCCTTTCCCCTGACCCCAGTCATCCTGGCTTGTGGCCTCACTGTGGGCCGGGGACCCTGGAAGCCACAGTTAACCTTGGCTCCCTGTCCTGGAGCAGCTGAAGTGGCCTTAGAGTGAGTGTGTTTTCACTCTGAGACCCCAGCTTTGTCTAAAGGAGGCCAGGGCCATGTGCAGTGGCTTACACCTGCAGTCCCAGCACTTTGGGAGGCCAAGCAGGACCAGCCTAGACAATGTAGCAAGACCCTATCCCTACAAAAATAAAATTAGCCAGGCACGGTGGCATGCTCCTGTGGTCCCATATACTCAGGAGGCTGAGGCAGGAGGATCACTTAAGCCCTGCAGGTCAAGGCTGCAGTGAGCCGTGATTGTACCACTGCACTCCAGACTGGGTGACAGAGCAAGACTGTCTGTGAAAAAAAATTATAATACATAAATAAAGGAGGCCAGGCCACCACAGCCCTCCCCTACCATGAACATCCAAGATTGCCTGATGTGTGGTATACAGCTCTGTGGGAGGTCATGGGAAGCCGCCTCTTCCTTACTGCTTCATGCAAATCTCAGGGCACAGACCCAGGTCCATGCCTGCCTTTCTCATCAGTCGGTTTCTCTGCCTAGCCTGTTTCTGCCAGGTATGGCAACAAATCCTCTGTGCCTACCCTGGCTTTGAAAACTAGCAAGGCAAGGGCCAGGTGTGGAGGCTCACGGCTGTGATTCCAGCACTTCGGGAAGGCGAGGCAAGTGGATCACTTGAATCTAGGAGCTCAAGACCAGCCTGGGCAACCTGGCAAAACCTTGTCTCTACAAAAATTAAAAACAAATTATCCAAGCATGGTGCATGCCTATAGTCCCAGTTACTGGGGAAGCTGAGGTGGGAGGATCACTTGAGCCCGGGAGGCAGAGGCTGCAGTGAGCTGAGATCACGTCACCGCACTCCAACCTAAGAAACAAGAGCCAGACCCTGTCTCAAACACACACACACACGATGGATATAGTTGTGTGTCTCTGACTCTCAGTTGGCTTCTGGACTACTGTGTCCCTGGCCTGATCCCCGCCTCTCACGTCTGCTCTGCTGCCCACAGATCCCGGAGCTGAAGCAGGACATCAGCATCCCCGACTACTGCAGCCTGGGCAATGGGGAGGAAGAGGAGATCACCATTAATGCCTGGTTTGGTCCCCAGGGAACCGTCTCCCCGCTCCATCAGGATCCCCAGCATAACTTCCTAGTCCAGGTGGGAGCTGCTGCGGGAACAGTGGCCCTCCTGTCTCCTGGCTCAGTCACCGGGCCGGCCATATTCCCTACCTTTAAACACCAGGCTCTTAAAAAGAAACAAGCACTGAAGGGGATGAGGACAAAAATACAGAACAAACCCAGAAACGGTCCCAGGCCTGGGGAGGGCTCTGCGGTCAGCTGTGTCCAGAAGCGGCCGCTCCTGCCTGTGCTTGCCCCAAGATCCCTCGCAGGGAGCCCTTGGGAGAGGGGGCAGGTGCTGGCACAGCTGCCCAGATGCCCCTCCTCCGCCCTCCCGCACCTGATCCAGACCAGCTTCCAAATAGGAGGCGGCAGGTTAGGAGAGTTGTTTTCCTGAGACCCAGGCCGAGCAGAGGAGCAGATGGGTTTGCTGTAAAGGGAGGTGCCTCTGTCTGCTACTGTAAGACCACCTTCGTTTTCACAGGCAGAGGGAGGTTTAGTGAAGGGGAACATTCCTCTAGCCGAGTAGACCAGTCCAGAGAGGTGGTCCAGGAGGGGGCTAAGAGCTGAGCTGCAGGAGCCAGCCTGCCAGGCGCAGACTCCAGCCCTGCCACCCCTTAGCTGTGTCAGCTTGGGCAGCTCATTTAACCCCTCTGTGCCTCAGTTTGCAAAATGGGAGTGAAGATAAAACATCTCGGAGAGGATTAAACCAGTTAACACACATAAAGTACTTAAGCAGTGCCTAATAACTGTGGGCTCCAAAAACGAAGTTATTCATAATGGATTTGGAGGAAAAACATACCTTTAGGTGGAGTTTGGTGCTTTCATACCTATAATCTCAGCACTTTGGGAGGCTGAGTCAGGAGGACCCCTTGAGGCCAGGAGTTTAAGACCAGCATTGGTAACATAGTGAAACCCCATCTCTACCGAAAAAAAGTACAAAACTCAGCTAGGTGTGGTTGGGCACACCTGTAGTCCCAACTACTGGGAAGGCCGGGGCGGGAGGATCTCTGGAGGCCGGGAGGGCGAGGCTGCAGTGAGCCCTGATCGCACCACTGCACTCCAGCCTGGATGACTGAGTGAGACCCTGTCTCTAAAAAATAAAAAAGAAAGAAAAACATACATAGGGAACTGTAAGCATGTGTTTGGTGGGAAGGGCAGACTGGGCATAGGGAGCAGCGTGTGGAAGGGCACAGAGGCCAGGATGGGCGGGGGCAGCAGCGGAGTGAGGCCACCAGCTGACTCTCTGGGTCTCTCTTCCCAGGTGATGGGGAGGAAGTACATCCGGCTGTATTCCCCGCAGGAGTCAGGGGCTCTGTACCCTCATGACACGCACCTTCTCCATAACACGAGCCAGGTGGGCACTGGGGGTCCGGGGTGACATTGCAGGCTCTTCCCACTGCCCCTGGAGAGGATGACGTCCTTTGCTTTCTTCAGGTGGACGTGGAGAATCCCGACCTGGAGAAGTTCCCCACGTTTGCCAAGGCTCCATTTGTGTCCTGCATCCTGTCGCCTGGAGAGGTCCTGTTCATCCCGGTGAAACACTGGCACTACGTGCGAGCTCTGGATCTGAGCTTCTCAGTCAGCTTCTGGTGGTCATAGCCAGGATAGGAGCCGAAAGGGCCTGATGTGCAGACAGCATTCATCTGTTCACGGATTTCCTGCTCGGTGGCCCCCCTGCTGCTACAGAGACAAGCAGGACCGAACCTGTGCCCTGAGGAGACTTCACTGCCCAGTGGCAGCCCTGAGGGGTCCAGCTCCAGCGCGGGGCAGGCACAAAGTGGGGGCTGCCCAGAAAGGGGCAAACTCCAGCCCGGGAGTGCATGGCACAGGAAGGTGGGGAGAGCCCACAAGGACATGGCAGGCAGGCAGCCTGCCCAGGGGTTCCAGCATCAGAAAACCTAACATGCTTGGGAAACAGGTGGCTTCCACGGGCAGGGGTGAAATGTGGGCTCTGAGGTGGCTAAGGCAGGAGGATCGCTTAAGCCTTCCAAGTGGAGGCTGCAGTGAGCCGTGATTGCACCACAGCACTCCAGACTGGGTGACAGAGCAAGACTGTCTTTGAAAAAAAAAATCATAATAAATAAATAAGGAGGCTGCTTGACTCAAACCCGGCCCCACTGTGTACCTGCTGTGTGACTCGGCCAGGATCCCTCACTTCACTGTGCCCGCGTGGAAGAAGTCGGCAAGGCCAGCCCTCACGGCAAGGGCCGCAGTGCCGAGCCCCTGCTGCTGCACGAACCTCAGCCGCTGTCGCTGATCCCAATTAGTCTGATGCTTCTGCCCTTCCTTCCCATAAGCGAGCCTGCTGGACGCCACAGCCTGAAGACTGGAGAGAGAGCTAGGCGCTGCCCTGGTCACAGGGGAGAGTCCGTAGAGGCCTGCTTAGGAGCCCGGACCCCTGCTGGGTGGCGGGAAATTTCTGTCATCCTATGGCCCAAGGATAACCTACCTGCCTGCAGAGAAGTGCAGCGGTCTTCTGACTGAATGACTTTTCCCCCAACACTCCCCCAGGATCAGGCTCCCAAGTGGAGAAACCAGACCATCAGCAGCCCCTCCCTCCACCTCCAGTCGCCATCCCCCTCAAACCTGGGGAGGGTTGGAGGCCAGGCGGTGAGCCCAGCCTCCATGGTTTCTGTAAATGTGTCGTCTTTGTGTATATGCAGGTTTGTTTTATGTTTTGGCCATTAAGACCTTCCCCAGCTCTCTGTTTTCTTTTTTTAACTAAATAGAGATGGGGGTCTCACTATGTTGCCCAGGCTGGTCTCGAACCTCTGGGCTTTAAGCGATCCTTCCACCTTGGCCTCCCAAAGTCCTGGGGTTACAGGTTTGAGCCACCATGCCGGCCGTGGCTGCTTCTTCCCTTCTGAGATAGGCCTGGGAAAAAGAGCCGCGAGGGTTCAGCTGCTCTCCTGCTAGCACCCTGACCCACAGGCTCAGCTGCTTGTCTTTTGGCCCAAAATCAAGAAGCCCCAGGAAAGATTCTGGTTGGGGGCTGGGGGGAGGGGGTATGTGTAGCTACCCTGGGGTAACTAGAAGGGGCATGGGAAGGTGGTGGCGGGCAGCTGGAACTCCAGCTCCTGATGCCCTCCATACCCAAGCCAAGCAGTTTGACCGTCACCCTGTAGGTCCTGGGGTTCTTGGCTATTGGGCAGACACCAGCAGAATCTGCGTTCTTGAAAGCTGGCTGTCGGCAGGGAGAGGCCATGGCCCTTACTCATCCTGGGAGTGGGCTGTTAAGGGGCCATGGGCGCGGCAGAGCATGACAAACACAAGCTATCTGGAAGCAGAGTTCATTTGCTCCGTGCGTAGCTGCTTGCAAGGACATTGTTGATTCCCTGCCATTGTTAATCATTTCCTAATCTTTCATAGGAAGAATTTACACCAGATGTCAACATCCCTGAAAGTAGTGAGGCATAAAACAGGGATGCCCCCATGCCGAGGTTTGCCATGAGTGAGGAGCGGTGGCTGCCCAGCCAGAGGGCCCTGACTCTCGGCCCACGTGTATAACTCATACCCCTTCCCCAGCCGAAGGACAGGCGGGCTTTGGCCCCAGCTCCCAGTGCCCCTGCCTGTCCCGCTGGCAGGTCCCACGGCCCATCTGTAGTGCAGCGTGACAAAAAGCTGGGCACGGGAGGCCACGTTCATTAACGTGGTATCCAGGCCAGGAGGCCTCAAGCAAATGTCCCTTGTCAGATGAGAGGAACGGGAAGGGGACATGGTCCTGCCCCGTCCCCTTCCTGCTGAGGTTCCAGTGTTGCTAAGAATCCCAACCCGAGGATGGCTTCTGAAGCCAGCTTGGAACCCAAGCGCCAGACAGTCACAGACCAAGGAGAGACACATATACGAGCCCCCACCTGAGATGTGGCCACAGCTGTCAGGACACTGAGACTGCTACCATGGACACAGGACACAGCCAGCATGCCTGTCACTGACCAGATGAGGCCCCTGACCTCGTGGTGTTCCAGTGCCACGGCAGGAGGTCCAATAAGGACGTAAGAATAAAATGACACAGTGTCATGCCGTTAAGTACCATGAAGGCAACAGAGCAGGTGACAGAGCAGGGTGACCGGGTGGAAAATGGCAGCCAGGGATGGATTGGTGAGACCAGGGTTTTTTGATAGTTGACATTAGAGGAGCAAGGGCTTGACCAGGAATTCAGAACTGGCTATGAGACTTGAGGCCCGGCTCCCAACACCAGGTCCAGCAGCCCTGGGACAGGAAAGCCCCGGCCTGGGGACAGGGGAAAGAGGAGCCAGGACGGCTGGAGCAGAGGGAGGGGAAGGTAGGTAGGAAGGAGGGCATTGGGGCCACGGGGTCTGGGGACCAGCAGAGTAATGCACTGGGGGGGCCCAGCCATGGAGGGACGGGTCTGCAGCTGCCGTGCAGACAAGGGCCTAGAAGGGGACCCTGGGAACCAGGCCAGTCCATCACTCCTGAGTGACAAGGTCAGGGGCACTGGCAGGGAAGCATGGCAGTGGAAGAAAGGCAGGCAGGGTAGTGAAGGCCTTCAATGCCAGGCCAGCACCTGGAGCCGCTCATGACGGTTTTGGGTGACAGTGTGTGTTGTGGGACATTCATGTCGATATCATCATGGAGGGGCTGGAGGCAGGAGAGACAAGCAGCAGGAGGGCCGGTATTGCCAGTGGCCAAGTGCCCAGAGGCTTCCTGGGTCCCCAACCAGGACTCAGTCAAGCTCAAAGAACAAACGACCAGAAGCACCAGGCAACTAGGACACAGGCAGTCGGAGCTGCCCCCGCCCCTCCTGAAGGCGGACAGCTGGGACACAGGCAGGCCGAGCTGCCCTGGCCTCTCCTGAAGGCGGTATTTGCTGGTTGGCTTTTCGCCTCCTGGCGTCCATTGTTCCAGAACGGCATGCTGATTGCATTCTGGAGAATGACCTCTGCCCCAGGGAGCGTGGTCCTGGAAGGTCCGGAACGTCAGCTGCTCCCTGGACCGACCAGCATCTTGAGGGTGTGTCGGGAGGAGCACAGACAGGCTGGGGCTGACGCCCCGCTGTGACAGAATTGTCTTGACGTCCACCACCCCCGATTCCAAGGTCTGCCTTTTCTAGACTGGTCCTGCCTTCCTGTCATTTCTGCAAGCCACCTCATACACTTCTAAGAAACTTCTCTTGTGGTGAGGCCGGCCAGGGCTGGCACTGGCTAGATGCGCTGGGCTTACCAGTGGGCATGTCTCTGCCCACTGACAAAGGGCTGGGCTGGGACCCCGGCTGCCTCTCTGATGGGAAGGTGGGCTTGGGGACTCGTGAGTCCAGGCCCGGTTCTGGGAGGGTCAGCCTCCCACCAGCAGGGGTCAGTCGTTCACGGAGCCCCGGATGCCGGCTCCACCCTGGGTTTACGGAGGTGAACAAGGTGGGGTGTTCCTGCCTTCAGCGGAGGCGGCCAGCCACCAATTCACTGTCCCAAGTTCACTCCCCGCTGCCTCTAAGGCTATTGACGCAATCACACCTTCAGTTTGCTTTGGGAAAGGCCCCTGCTCTCAGCCACGTGCCCTGGGAGGGACAGCCCCGCCTCTCTGTGGAGTGGGTCTGATTTTCTAATGCTAGCCGATCATCCATCCCCACCTCGCAGGTGCCCATGGGGGAGCTGTGGGCCGTGAGGGTGCTTGCAATGGCGTGGGAGCCGCTAAGTGAGAGCCATCCTTTCCTCCCGATACTAGGGTATGATGTGTGAGGCCCGGAAGCATGGCCGCTATTTTGCCACCATGAATAAAGCAGCCGGATTTCCGGGAAACCACCACGTAGGCTCCAAGCATGTGGCCAGCCCAGTGAAAGCACAGCAGACACAGAAATATGGCTGCGTGCTGACGTCGCTGGAACCCCCGGGCCAAGCCTCTCCTCGGGACCCCTGTGTTCAGCCCTTCCTTGTTTCAGCCAGTCTGAGTTGGCTTTTCTGTCATGACTGAAACATCATGACCGACGCTGGGGTTCAAGAGAGGCCTGAAGATGGGGACTTCACAAGTGTGAGGACGGAGGAAGTGCAGGGAGCGAGGAGCTGAGCAGTGCCAAGGGGTGAGCAGGTGCCAGCCAGGGAACAAACCTAGATACCAGAGGGATGGGCACGCAGGCCCAGGGAGCTCTGCAGAGGCTCCGGAGCTGGCGAAGGCAGCGCTGCACCCTGAGCAGTGGGTGGGGGCAGGCGGGGACGCATGGGCAGGGGCCTCACCAGGGGCCACAACCTGCTGCCACAGTGGGGGCGTCCGGGGGTCTTCCGCAGGGAGCACGGAGGCAGGGTGTGGGTTGGGGCTGGCGCTCAGCCTGAGGCAGCAGCGGTGGGGCCGGAGGGCTGCTGGCAGCTGAGCTGGACAGGATCTGGGGACAGTGGGATGCAGAAGGGTCAGGGAGGGGCAGCATGGAGGCCAGCTCCCAGTCCTGGCTGGGGCAGCTAGATGGCAGGGCTGCCGGGCACTGACGGGGAGCAGAGAGCCCAGGGAGGGAGAGCACGCGTCCTGCCCAGACGCCCGGCCTCAGCCCATTCAGGCCAGTGACATATTGGGCTTCTGGCCGGCGGAGTCCAGACTGTGGGGAACTGAGGAAGCCAAGGCTCACACGTCCAGGCTCGGGCCAGCCCAGTCCTGCTGGGACAGCTGGCCACGGCTGGGACTGGAGGCAAGGCCGCCCTGAGCCACGACAGTGAGCTCCCCTGAGCCACCGCTGGGGGCTCCGGTGGCTTCACCTGCTGGAGCCCAAACCCAGGGGGGTCTGAGTGACAAGCAAACTCCAGGAAAGAAGGCAAGGCCACGACATGGACCCTCACACACGGGCTGGAGACCACAGGCAGGGCTGCAGCAACCTTGCAGGATGGTTTATTCCAAAGCTGCGGACAGGGGCAGTTAAGAAGAAAGAGGTGACTCGTGTGGAACCTGCTACACAGATGCCTCCCTTCCAAGAAGGGCCCCCCAGGCGGCCAGCCCCCCAGCAGGGCACCACGGCTAATGCCGCCTGGATCGCAGGGCCTTTCTGTTCAATTTTGAGATACCAGGCTCC